GGTCAACTTTCTTACAAGTTGATCTTGCAAGTCCTATTGTTCGGATCTTGCAGTTGTTGAAGAAGCGTGACCTTCGAAGGAACAACAAAGCCAGCACGAGTGCAGTAGCAACATTGGTCTTGCGAAGATATACCGTGCAGAAATTCACACAAGTGTAATTGTTGGTTCATTATTCAACAACCAACTACATAGTGGATTTTGAGGACGTAGAAGGATTACCCCACCTTCGAACCTCGTTAAAGTTTGCGTGTCTCTCTCTTTTATCTTTACTCTTACTAGCAATTATATTAACTGTGAAAACTAACCCATCCATATTGATTACTGCTCACTCTACCCACCAAATTCCGCACACAATCTAAAGTTCACAAGAACTCTAGATTAACACTCATTTTCACGTTTTTAAAAAGAAACGAAAAAGAATTTTAAATTTGTAACAAAGTCTATTCACCCCCCCCCTCTAGACTTTGTATCTCACCACTTTGGGACCACCAATTGGTATCGGAGCAAACTTCTCACTATCTACGTTTAGATTAACGAGAAGCGATCAAAATGGTGAACAATATGGATCACGGTCTGCCCAAGTTTTCTCTTCTAGGTTATGACGATTGGAAGATCATGATGGAAGCACACCTCTACGCTCTACATGACTGTATGTGGATGGTGCTTGAGGATGGACCCTTGAAAATCCAAATGGAGAATCCTGAGAGGAATCCAGAATCTCCAGATGTAGTCCAGTACATTCCAAAGCCCAAAGAGAAATGGGATGATAGAGATTGCAAAAAGCACAATCTGGACAACGTCGCCAAAGCAGCCATCTTCAACACACTTGATCCCATCACCTTCTCCAAAATCAAGCATCTCAAGACTGCCATGGAGATATGGCAAGGTCTTGGGAAGCTATGTGAGGGATCAGAGGACTTGAGAAAGCAGAAGATAAAAGTCCTGCTTGAGAAGTTCAAAGGCTTCAAAATGCTTCCCAGAGAATCATTTGATATGTTGGATGAAAGATTTCACAAAATCTTAAATGATCTTGCCTCACTTAACCACGTTCTTTCTCCCAAAGAAAAGAATGTAAGGTTGCTGAGATCTCTTCCAACTGAGTGGTACACCAAAGCCACAGCCATAGAAGAAGGAAGAAACCTGGAAAACTACACTGTCCAGGGTCTTCTTGATGAGCTCAGAACCTATGAGCACGAGCTGAAGAAGAAGAAGGAAGAACAAGTCACTCCCTTCCCCACGGCACTGATGACAACTCCCAGAGTCCCAACAAGTGAAGGGACATGCCCAAGGAGCTGTGACACACCTTCCTCCAGCCAGCCGTCAAACTCAAAAATGGAGAACTACGATGAGGAATTTGTCATGATGGTCAAGCAATTCCGGAAGTTCAAAAAGTTCTTCAAGAAAGCTGACTCAGTCACAAGGCCATCCAAGGGAAAGCCACAGGTAAGTGACTCCCCTCCTGAATCTTATTTATGTTATAACTGCAGGAAGCCTGGCCACTGGAAGTCAGCATGCCCGTACCCAAAGGTGGAGAAGTACGGAGAGAGAGAAAGGAACGAGAAGAAAAAGAAGGCAATGGTTGCTGCTGAAAGTGATGACTCATCCAGCTCAAGCTCGGATGAAGAAGCTCTCGTCTGCATGGAACGCAGAGTTGAGAAGTCCAACCATGAGGACCGGTGGACTATGTCAGAAGATGACCATCTCTGCTTAATGGCCAAAGATGATGCTGAACAAGAGGTAACTTCACAAGCCTCCTGCTCATCTTCTTATGAAAGCATACCAACTTCTGAAAATCTTTTTGACCAGTTCAAAAAGATGATGGTAGATTTTGAGGAAATAAATCTCAAACACTCATCCTTAACAGAGGAGAACAAACTATTGAGTGAAGAGAATCTCAAGTTGACTGAGGGTCGGAAAAGTCAACTGGATGAGATCACTCAACTCAAGACTGAAAATGAATCTCTCTCTGAAAAGGTGAAATCCCTTAACAAAGAGCTAGGGATACTTAAGTCCAAAGAAGCAGTGGACAAGCTTCTTGAAACGACCAACAATAAGGGTCGTAAAGGACTTGGGTTTGACCCCTCTAGTTCTAAAAGAAAAGGGAGAACAACTTTCATCCCTCCTAAACCTACTGCTAAACCAAATAAGCAGAAAGTAAAGGAAAAGGAGAAACCAACAGAAGTTCCCAAAAAGGTTGTCCCTCCTAAGAACTATAGGAAACTGGACAGACCTCAAAGAGGAAATAATTTCAGAAGAAAACCTTCTAACCCCCATTATACACGAGGCTATACTCATTATGGGGTAGATAGGAGTTTTCCAAGAAATTCTGAGTGGAGAACTATGCCAAGATATAGTCACCCTCCACCCCAGAAACTATTCGTGCCACCTAAGTATGCTTATAACCAACACAGGCCACACTATACACAACCTAGACAAAACTATAGGTCTTACCAACCTAGGTTTGCTAGGAGGAAACAGGAATTTGCACCTCCTGCACGTAGGAAGTTTTATGCCTACAATTATGATTACAACCCTAACAAGTTCAGAGCTGCAAGGAAAATTCCCTGTAACTTCAAACTTGATGTAGGGACACACACCATTAACTACTCCGGACCCAAACTTAATTGGGTACCAAAATCTTCCTCCTCCTAATGCAGGAAGCCACTAAGTACCCAGGTGTCTGGTACTTAGACAGTGGCTGTTCAAGACACATGACGGGTGATGCGAGCCTTTTGCGCAATCTAATTCCCTATGATGGTCCAAGAGTTACTTTTGGAGGAAGCAATGATTTTGGCCTTACCAAAGGGCTAGGAAATCTGGTGTACAAGGGACTAACCATCCAAGATGTTTCTTATGTAGAAGGTCTCAATTATAACCTTCTTAGCATAAGCCAGTTTTGTGATAAAGGTTATTCCTTGGAATTCTGCAAGGACATGGCATCTCTCAAGAACATCTCCACTAATGAAGTCATTCTCACTGGGAAGAGAATCAGAAACATCTATGAAGTGATGTGGGACAATGTCAAAGAAGCATGCCTAATCAGCAAAGGTGATACTAACCTTCTATGGCTTTGGCATAAGAGGTTGAGTCATCTCAACTTCAAAACTCTAAACAAGCTGTCCAAAGAAGGGTTAGTAGAAGGTCTTCCCAAAGCAGCCTTCAGAAAGGAAAGCATTTGTGATGCTTGCCAGAAAGGAAAGCAAGTCAAGTCTACTTTCAAGGCAAAATCGGCACCCTCAACTACAAGGATATTAAGTCTTATCCACATGGACTTATTTGGCCCTGTTACACCAATAAGTCTAAGTGGAAAGAAATATGTCCTGGTGGTAGTTGATGATTACTCAAGATACACGTGGACAATCTTCCTCAACGGCAAAAAGGAGACTCAAGGGAAACTCACCAACTGCATGAAGCTGATTCAAAACCAAGCAAGTCAGACCATTCAGAAGATCAGATCTGACAAAGGCACAGAATTCCTGAATGAAATCATCATTCA